AGCGTTGGCTGTCAGAAATGCAGGAAGTCAGATTTCAAGCAACACACCTGCATCTGTACATTTTCCTGGCTCCTACATGGTCAAGGCACTTCAGAGAACCTCCTTTGAAAAATATTGAGAAAGTTAGTGAAATAGTTGTAATGTTTCATTTAAGATTCTGCGGTCCTGCCAATTTCTGGGGGAAGTTTGTAATTTCTGGTTTTGCTGGAAGTAGTAATAGTCAAAGCTCCTGGAATGAGTTCTTAACCATGCCAGGTAAATGAGAATTTGCAAGGTTGTCTGTAATGTGAAAAATCTGGTTTTGTTGTTGTTACTGGTTTTCAAGCCACTTAAAACAGTGGGCACTAAAAATTGTGGATAATGTTTTGAGAATACTGTAGTCTTGTAACAAAATAATAATGAAATGTTCATTTAAATACGGCTGCTTTTTTGCAGCCTTCTCTGCTTTCAAAAAAACCACACTTAAAATTGGATGGCCCTCCAAAATTGACATGGGGCTTGAGATGGGAATCTGTAGAGAATTTGCTAAATCAGAATTGCCTTTGTTCACACAAACCCTGAAAGGATAGTTCAGAATTACATTCAGAGAGCTCAAATGTAAAAATAGATGTTCAGGAAAGATGAACTGTTTTTCAAACCTCGGCTTCTATTCTGCAGCACATTGTATAGAGTCTTTTGAGTTAGCTGGTATTCCTTAGCTTCATTTTTAAAAAGTTTTTCTAAAACTGGAAACAAGAATCTTCTTTTGTCCCTTCATATTTTTTAAATTTCATTTAGCCCTTCATCTTCTTTTGTGCCAGCTTTGGCATTTCATTTCTGGCTTGCATAAAGCCGAGTGCTCCCATTACTGTTTGTAAACCCTGACTTAATCTCAGTTTTCAAGCCAAGTCAATTTAACCTTGGCTTTTTTGTTGTATTGATAACATTAAGCCAGAATTTTCTGGATCAGACTTAATGAGAAACATGGCTTAAATCATGATTTTTGGCAAGGAAGCTGATTTTTAATTGCAGATTAATGGCACAGTCACCTCACTGCTCCTCTTCTTTCCTCAGACATGATTTTCCCTTTGTAAGAAAGCTAACAATAAAGGCAGTTTGCACTATGCATAATAAGGTAAAATATAATTGTGGTTTTAAATAAGGGGTGACATTACCTGTTGTCATTATGAGCTGGCAGTTACTTTTAAGGTAATTTTTTAAAGGAAAGTGTTTTAAGATTTAATTGTCCCACATTGTCTCATTTTGCCCTGTTTGTTTTGAGACAGCTGTCCCCTAAGGATGAGCCTAAGGATGAGGTTGGTACGCATTTATTTTTTCTCAGCATGTTGTTTGGCTGAATGGGCGCATGTTGGTGGTTGTGCTGCAACTGAGAAAGGAACTTACTAGCTTATTTAAATGTTTCTTATAAAAAATGCATGCCGTAAACTTCCCAAAACTTTTCCCTGTGGTGCTTTCATTTATCAAGTGGCTATAAGTACTGTAATAAAGCTCTTGTGAATACAATGCATGTATTTTCATTCATGCACTACATTTTTGGGTGTAACATTTTACCATCTCATATAATGTGAGAACAGACTATGCTCTTAAAATCTTAGATTGCTCCTGAAAATGAGATATGTGAATCCCAGCTAAGTATTATAGATGAGGTTGGTTGTGAGGTCACTGTATTTGTTGGCATATTCAAGCAAAGTGGGAGCCTAAGCCCATTCAGGTCTAATTATGTTATTCCGTTTTCTCTAAGGCTACAAAATGCATACTACTTTTTCTTAGGCACCAAGAGGAAATAAGTTTACCTATCTTGTTTCAGATTTTCAGATTCTTCCGGGATGATTTTTCTAGGTGTTTGCAATAAGAAAGACTTGCAAAAACTAGGCATAATCACAGTGCAACTCATTAAGCTGCAGGAGGAATGGGAATGTACAAATGGTGAAGCTGGGGGGACATACATTTAAAGATAGGCTGTGTTAGGGATGCAGGTGGGTAGTGTTTTTTTTTACTTATTTCACAAACTCTCAGAGGTGGGTTGAAATACCATATGCAGAACTTTCTTTACTCTCCCTTCAGAGTCGGTTAGTAAAGCTACAGCCAAGATTGAAACCATGGATGTCAGAATTTTCTGCAACCTTATTTCTTTAATTTATGTTCCTTCTTCTCATGTCCCACATCCCAAGTACAAAAACAGTTCTAGCTGTCATCATAATGGGGCTTAAATCAAATCCTGAGCAGTCTTTCTTGGTTGATACCTTAAAACTGTTGCAATATTGTTGAAAATTCAGAATTTCCCAGGCAATAGTTTTATTGGATGAATCAAACTTTTATAAATAGCCACAAGCTTTCACAGTTCTTAACAGTATTGTTAAAAAAAAGTTTTAAAGGTAGAAAAAAGGCAGCAGGTTTGATCTTATCAATCATGTCTGCTAGGGTGCTTAGTGGAATCAGTTGCTAGAGAAGAGCTGGTCTCCTGTGCACTGGATGTGTGCAAGTGGAGGCTGCTGTGTGTTCATTATCATTAAGTAGGATAATTGGAGCCTGGTCATTTGTGCCTTGAGCAGGAACTTTGGATTGATTTGTTCAATGATCCATTTGTTTGTTTTCTTGGCTGCCCACAGTATTCTCAAGAGCCTCCTCCAACACCAAAGTTCAAAAGCGTCAGTACTCTTGCGAGACTATTATATGCTCAAAAGTGGAAAGGCTCAGCACTACCCAGAATGGAGGACTGGTTGGTGAAAATGATGGAATTTGCGGAGTTGGTTAAATTGATGTCCTTAATGAAAGAAAGGACAATAGCTACATTTATGGCTGACTGGAAACCCCTTATAGGCTTTTTGCATGAAAGAGGAAAAAATGCACTTATGACTTGTGGCTTTGATGATTAGAAGAAAAAAATGGATAATAGAAAAAAGTGAGCTTTTTTTTTAATCATAGAGTAAAAGATAATTTGTAATTATACTTATATTTGCTGCAGAGAAAATCGGAAGCTTCTTCTTTCTATTTCTTTTTATACTTTCTCACTGTGCTTTTGCTTTTTTCTTCCTGTCTTTTTTTCTTCATTCTCTCTATTTTGTATTAATTGGTGTTAGTTTTTATATTCTTTTTAAAACTTTTAATAAAATTTATTTTTTAAAAAAGTGTTAATGTTCTTCCTACCTTGCTTCTTCAAAGTTCAACTTTTCCTTCTATAGAGCGTCACAGGGTATACCATTACTTGCACTGTTCTAATCTTAAATGATTAAATTAAATTACATAAAATTAATAAATTAAAATAAATGTTGCGTTGGTATTAGGTATATTCATTCTTGCAAATGAGAGGAGTCTAATCAAAAGTTATAAAAGTGGATTTTTTCTTTGATGTATTTTCAGATTTACATTGGCTCTAGTGCAATTCATGCAGTTTTGTATCATTCTTATTATTATTATTATATTTTGCTACTACAGGTAGTCCTTGTTTAGCAACTGCTTTGTACAGCAACCATTTCACAGTTACTACAGTGATGAAAAAGTAACTTTGTGACCAATTCTTGCATTTACGACCTTTGCAGGTCTAGAAAGCAAAGGAAAGCTGAAGTAAGATCATAAGCACAGTTGTGGTTTTACTTAGCAACCACTTCGCTTAACAACCAAGTTGTCGGTCCCAATTGTGGTTGCTAAACAAGGACTACCTCTAGTTAATTTCTAGTATGCTTTTGAAACATAAGAGATTGGCAGAGAAGTCTCTTCAGTAGAATACATTCCTGATCTAATTCATTTGGCAGAATTCAGATGTTGCTCTAAACCATAACTTACTATAAAGTTTAAATTTTAAAAATCATGGTTTGTAGCAGGTTCACAAGATGGAGGTGGCATTGCTGGAGGTAGATGTGAACATCCAGGATCTTGGGTGCTGCACAACATCTGTTGAAATGGAGGGGCTACCCTCCTTGTTCCATGACCTTGACATTTTTTTCTTGCTGAATTTTATTTATTTCTGCGTGTACATATTTATGTCTGTGCTCATATTAATTTTATTTGCGGTCAGCATTGCATCTAGATATAATCTTAACCAGCAGCTGAAACTGACACAGTTTATGTGTAGAATTTATTTAAGATAGCTTTGGCTGTTGGAAATGACCTGAAGTGAGTGTTGGCAAAATCTTCATGTGCATTTCAGAGTAGCTCTATAATTCCATAGATTTTTCTACACATATTTTCATAGGAATCTATTCTGTGACAGTTAAATACTAGAATGCATTTTTATATTTATCAGATGTGATATAACCTAGATAGATAATATTTTAAAATTTTGTTAAAGAAGCAAATGTTTGGAAGAGTAAAGGTCAACAGTTGACAGCAAATTGCCTCTGTCCTTAATTGTGGCGTGGATAGCTTGTTTTGGTTGGTCAGACTTGCAGCCCAGCAAATGTTATGGCAGAATTCTGGTTTGTGTAAAAACAGGCTGAACCTTAAATAAGCAGAAGGAAATGCAAGGCTCATTTCATAAAAAGAACAACAAAAAGTATACCAAGAGGAGGGCCTGCTGTTCTTTTCCATTATCTCTGTTGTGACTTTTGCATAGCTGAAATAAAATCTAATACTGAAGATCACATAAGATGGGGATGGCAGGATAAGGTGGGGAAAAGTTTCTGCATTCATTTTGTTGTTAAAACCCAACCGCTCCTCTCCTGGAATTTGGGGCAGCTCCATGTTGTGTCTACCTCTTCTCTTAGCTAAGCCAATCTCTTAATATATCCTTAGAGCCCCAGGACACCGTGTGTATCCTTGAGTGTAGAGTGAATTGCTCTTGGAAACACTACCAAAGATTCTGAGCCATCAGGAAAAAAGCCACAACATTTCAAACTATAATTCCTTGTAGTAAAATGAACTTCATATTTCGATTTCTGACCTTTAAAAGTCAGCGAGAGAAGCATCTTGCTCAGGAGGCCCTAGGAAGCTCATTTGTTTAGCAGTAGGTGGCTTTCATCTGTATCAAATGCACTCTTTATTTCTGTAATTTTATATTTCAGCGATAGACGCCTGCTCCAGCCAGCCCAGGTGTGTGATATTTTCAAAGGGGTAATACTTGTAATTTGCTACTTCATGATGCACTACGTTGACTATTCCATGATGTACCACCTGATAAGAGGGCAGTCTGTGATTAAACTCTACATCATCTATAATATGCTTGAGGTAAGTAGATGAGGAATAAAACTATTATGGAAGCACATAAGTCTTTCTTGACATGTCAAAGCCTTGTTGTAATTGCTTTTCCACCATGTTTGAAATATAGGTAGTCCTCACTTAACAATGCTAACTGGGACTGGGAACTTCTCGCTAAGCAACACAGCCGTAAAGTGCAAGGTCATGTGATTGCACCAACTTACGACAGCAGTTCTGGCAGTCCAGGTTGCCATTGTTAGGCAAATCCCACATAGTTGCAGCATCCTGTGGTCACATGATCGCCATTTGCAACCTCCTTCTGGCTTTCCCGTTGACTTTGTTTGTGGAAACCTGGCAGTGAAGATTGCAAATGGCCGCGGGACCTGTGACCATCATAATTGCAAGCCAGTTGCTAAGCGCCCAAATTGCAATCACGGGACCGTGGGGATGCTGAGACAGCCGCAACTTCGAGAACCAGCCATAAGACTCTTTGTTCAGTGCCATTGTAACTTCAGTTGCTGAACAAATGGTTATTAACCAAGGACTACCTGTACAACGTTGTTTTAAAAAAAAATTAGTTTATTTGAAGACAGATCGATTGATCAAGAGAGTAACAGATAATTCATAGCACAATATTTAGGAACCTTGTGAATAAGTTCTTAAGAACTACTTGAGAAGCACTCAAACATTTAGCCACAGGTTTCTGGATTTTCTTTTCCCTATGAATGGTGTCTTATAGCAAACTGCTTCTTAATTCCTTGAGTTTTACAAAGGATTTGAATTATTGGCATTAGTAATAGCAATATTACATACATTAAAGAATAATAATTACCCTTTCTGTAAACATTTAGAGGGTTATCAACACAGAGCCTTTGTGAAATAGATGATTCTGACAGTGACCCAATTCAGGGTCAAACAGTGAGTTGAAATGAGCTCAGTCTTGATCTTAATCCAAATCATGTTCAAGAGAAACAAACTCTTTGGGTGAACAAGTGAATTCTGTCTTCAGCTTGGGGCCAGTAATTATTACTCTTACTTCAATCAGGAAGAATAGGTCATACTGCTTTATGCCTTTTTTTAGAGTTATGCAGAGGGTCAAAGGTTAAAAGGGGCTTCAACATGCATGAGAGGGCTAAAGTAGTACCTCTGGACAACTCTGTAAGCTAGATGCATCCTTGACCACAATCATGCAGAGCTGCAGATTGAGGAAAAAGGCAACAGCCAGCATGGTGTGGTGGTTAGGGTGGGTGTTGGGCTGGCACCAGGAAGACCCGGGTTCTAGTCCACCATCAGCCAGGGAAGCTCAGTAGCTGACTTTGTACCAGTTGTACTCTCTCTGCCCAACATACTGCTGTCATTATGGAGAATAATGGGAGGAAGAAGTGCTGTGTATGCTACCTTGAGCTCTTGTACAAGAGGTGAGAGGTTTTATTGCTTACATTACATTGTTTATTAAAATTTTGTCCCATTGTTCTACCATGATTGTGGCAGTTGAGGTAGCTAACATGAAACCATTTAAACCATTATAATTAACATTTCACCATGTTTCCAGTTTTGCTTATGAAAAACTTCCTGACGGAAGGATACCAGAGAGCTAAACAGAATTTCCCAAAGAGTTTGGGATTTGATTCTGAAAAGTTACTTTGAAGCAGGAATGCAGCTCCTGTTGGCAACTGATTGAAGGTGCCATGCCTTTTTCCAGGATCACAAGACTGCAGCAGAAGCTTTCGCACAACACCAGTGTGATCCTAGGAAAGGGCGTGGCTCTTTTGACAGGTGCTACAGTTGCACTCCAATCAGCTTTATAGAATCATATCCGAAGCACTGCGCAGCCAGCAAATGGTTCCAGGAATGGCTGTCTTTCCAGATCTGCTTTAACTTTTGGTTGGTCTGCTCCTGGTCATACTGATGGACTTGAATATTTCTTACATACATACACACACACACACACACACACACACCCTTGCTTCAGTACACAGTTTCAGCAGGTGTGTCCTCCCAATATTTCCATATGGATTTAAATTAACGGTTTCTGTTAAGGCTGCCCAGTTAATTACAGGCTTGTTCTACTTCTGATATTCCCTCTAATCCACAGCCACACAGGATTCTAGGATACTTTCTGGGTTACTTGTTTAAGATTAATAGATCTAGTTGGTGCTACCTATGACCAGTGCCAAAGAATAGGATTATGTTTTGAACATCATGCTATGGCCAACAAGTAGCAGAGCTACGTTTCTCTAAGCTAGAAAGAAACTAATGTATAATTATATCCAGCCTAACATAGCAGAAAAACTACAAGAGAGCATCTCCTAAAGTTACATTCATGGAACAATTATTGTAATCAACACAAAGCATAACGAAGTTGAAATGAGTTGTGAAAGTGATTGTGCAAGCTTGATGACAGAACTAGGCCAGAAAGACAATCAAAGATGAAAAACAGGATTTCCACAAGCAATAGAAACTTTGTACTAAGGTACTAGACACAAACTTTGTGCTGATTTTGTTCTGACTGATCCTAGGCACATTTATCTTAAATGCTGACGTGTAAAAAATGCAGTAACGTAATAATTCAAAATGCTGAACACAGAAGTTCTTGCATGCAGTGTTGCTGTAAATTTATCTTTCAAATGGATTTGCATTATGGCCCTGAAGTCAAATAACTTTTACTTAAGAGAAACCATGCTGCAAAATTAAAATATATTTTAATGCACGCATATGCCTCTCTAGGTAGCCGACCGTTTGTTTTCATCTTTTGGACAAGATATCTTGGATGCTCTCTATTGGACGGCGACAGAACCAAAGGAAAGGAAAAGGGCCCACATAGGGGTCATTCCCCATTTCTTCATGGCAGTTCTGTATGTCTGTATCCTTTTGTGTTCATTTCAGGGTGTGTGTATGTAGTCTCAAGAATCTATAAAATCTTGGATTTTGTATAGAGAAGGCAACAAATTCCTTGTAGGGAAAACAGGAGCTCTTTTAAAGTCATAAATTGAAAAACCTTGGTTTGCAAAAAAAAAAAAATTAAACAGCAGCTTATTTTCTCTGTACTGTCTTTCCTCAGATTTGCACTTTTATGAGGCAATTTCCTCATTCCACTGTACAAACAAATCTAGGCATCACTGATCCTCCTTTCCTTGGAAATATGTGGTAGCTGTATGACCTTAAAAGGAGCAGCAGTAGTCAATAGAATAGTTATTCTGAACCTTTACAAAGGAAGGTTCTGTGTAATCACAAGTTTAAGGAGCTAGTTTTAATAGATTCTGTGAATTGTTCTTTCAAACTCAGAATGAGAGTCTTGAAAACTTACCAGTTGTCTTTTCCATCAAAAGACCCCAGAGAATTGATGGAACTGTTGAATAGTTGTCTGGATTTGAGATCTATGAAGGAGAGCTGAACCTTCCCCTGAAGATATAAAGGGGTTCTATGTGTTGGGAAGCCTGCACAGGCATGAAAAACTCATGTAGGTGAACTGTCACTCCCTTAAAGGACTAACTGTTCAACTTGGGGGCCTCCAGTGTCATTGCTGTCCGAGACGTGTTGACAGTGGCTAAAAGTCTTTTTTCAAGGTCCAGCTTGTTCACCAGCTGTGGCTAAATCTATGTTGCTAATCCAGTTCTTGATTTAACTTGGTTCTTAGAAGATAAGACCTTTAAAGATTATATAAAGCTCTCCTTTTATCCATACATAAATAAATAAATATTTTATAGATCTTTCTTGGATGATAAATAATGTTGGTGTGCATTAGAGACATCTCAGTGATGATTCAGGTCTTTGGACCTTCTAATCAGTTGCTTGCTATTATAACATTTAGCACTAAAGACTCTTCCTCAATGCTGCCTTGATTAATGCCAATGAATAAAAGCTTTTCTTCACCCCCTACTTGCTTAATTTCCAAACTTTTTGTGATATGTCATCAAGAGGCACTCAACCTAATAATTAAATGACTTATGGTATAATATATCAGTTTCTTCTGAAGGAGGCAAACCCAACTCCATTTCAGCCATGTGCATCATCATCAGAGCTGATACGATGGGTAATCCCAAACCGAGGTTTGGCAATATTAAAATAAGCATGCATAGTTCTTTGGCTTGTACTCTCATTCTTCCCTTGCATGAAGAAATTAGCAACTTTTCTCTCTCTTTTTTTGGGGGGGGGAGGTATTTTTGGTATGCTGGCTTGATTGTGCTGCATATTCTTGTTGTTTGACCTTTTTCTGTTGGTAACATTTTCACTTGTTTTATTATTTAAATTGTTTTATTAGCACCTTTGCTTTGGTATCGTATTTTATTTTGTTGTAAGGTCATATGAGGGGCCCTATGGAAAAGCAGCGTCTGTATTTAATTAAAATTGTAAAAATACATTATAAGGCTGATAAAAAGTGCTCTCACATGACATTTGTGCCACAGTAAAATTATCTGATAGGGCTACACAAATCTTTCAAAAGACATGCTTTACAATGAACAGATATCATTAAAACAGCTGCATCTTTTTCCAGACTCATGCAGTTGCTCCATGAGCTGCTCCTGACTGTCTCCGTTGGTATATTTGTTTAGGCATGGCCGCTTTGCTTTTTCCAGCAAATCAAAGTGGCCAGATGTGCCCAATATATTCAGATGCAGCCAGGAACAGATAGAGAAGTTGCTGTGTGAGTTTAAAAAAAAAAACATGGTTGCTTTCAAAGGATTTGCACATCACTATTGCCCTTCACAATTGTATGGACGTAGGTGGCTGGGAAGGGACTGCAGCTGCTCGTGTGTTGAATGAATTAGTAATCTGATTGTGTTTAAGCAAATGTACTGTTAAACTTGTAACTTGCTCAGTAGGATTGTAACTTTTAAGCCTTTTCTATGGTACATGGGTATTTGGAGATAAAAAGGGGATATACATACAGTGCATTCAGAAAGTATTCAGACCCTCTTCACTTTTTTCAATTTTGTTATGTTGCA